CCCCTCTGAATACCGAGCAAAGGGATAATGTTTGGGGATGTGACGGTCCAGCATGTGTTCTGCACACAGGTTGTCTCCCTGCTGCCGGAAGATCTGCAGCCCGGCCCGGACTTCCACGGCTGTTCCTGGGAAGTGGTGATCTTCACGGTGCTGCTCGGCGGCCTGTCCATCTTGGCGTTCACCTGCAGAACCGTGCGATGTGTAAGTACAGTCCGCCATGTTCCCTGATAAAGCATTGCAACGACCCAGGATGATGTGTGGGGGGATGGATTCTGACCGGCCGCTATAGATGTCTGAACTCCCTCTGTGTAATAACGTCACTTATACCGGGTCATCGGGTTATTTTGTAGCCACATTTCAAATGACTTGTCATGTCTACTTTGCAGGGAGGACATTCTTTTATGATGTGTAAACTGTAAAGGGTTAATACTGACCCCGGCCGCCAATACCTATCTGTAGAGGTTCCTCTGCCTGAAAATCCTTCAGCATCCGACAATTCCTGAAGTGTCTGATACATAATCCCCCTACTGAGCGCTGTGGTACCTTCCGCCGAGCCCCTACATCACTACATGACACCGTGATGACATAGGAGCCAGAGGAAGAAACCATTACGACCGGTAGGGGTCCAGGCATTTAACATGGCCTTAAATGTGTCAGCTGCTGAAGAGGTTTCACACAGCGGGAATCTGCGGCCTGGGTGCCTACAGGGGGTGAGCATGCGTTGATGCCCTGCAGGCTTCAATGCACATTTTTAATTTCATCAATGTGGGTGCGTTCATTACATTTTTAAAAAAAATAAAAGGCACTTTAGCCCTCATTCACACTAGAATCGTACCTCTGCGTGCACGGCCGTATCGGGCCGCTCCCGGGAAGGACAGGTGCTGCATGTGATCAGTACGCAGCCCCCGTCCTTCTCTATGGGAGTACACGGCCGTACGCTCACCCCAAGTGCAGCTCCGTACGGGTGTGGGTGTCCCGGCTCGGACGCAGACAGGAACCATTCCATCAGCGTACGGACGCCCACACGTGTACGGATCTGCACTTGAGTGAGTGTAGGGCAACGTACGGCCACACACTCCCATAGAGAAGGACAGGGGTTGCGTACTAATCATACACAGCACCTGTCCTTCCCGGGAGCTGCCCGATATGGGCGTGCACGCAGCACGGAGATGTGCGTGCCGGCCGATTACCGCGCAGAAACTGCAAGCTGGCTGCAGTCTTTGATTTCCAATGGCTACAATGTAACTTTATTTTTGTTTATTGTTTCAGATTAAAAGCAGATGTTATGCCGGTAAGTGCTCCGTGTTTGTTTATTTTTATATCTTGTTACAGTTTTTCAGTGACAAATGTTTTGCTCCTTTTTTTTTTTTTTTCTTGTTTATTTCTTCTTTGTTTATATTTTTAGGTCGGGAATCAAAGCTCGGGGATCAGATCAGTGACATCCTGAACAGCAAAAGCGAAGTTCTAGAAAAGCTGAGCGTTGTACAGAAACAGGTGAGGTGACCTGGGGGAGGCATTGAGATGAATCGGAAATCGCTATTGGCCCATCACTGTGTTGAGCTGTTTCACTAACCAATAGCGAGGCAGGGGAGGGGCAGAGTCCCAGGTACAGCCTGCACTGGTGTAATTGAACACCTTGAAGGCAAGCAAGTGGCAGCTCAATGACCTATAATACCACTGAGAGCTCATAAAGAAGTACAATGTATAATAAAGATACCAAAACCAGTTACACATCCATGTAAAACCTCGACACTGCAGTGAGAAAACCTTCTACTTATTTGAAGTGTAATTCAAGCCAAATCTTTTTTTGGATAAAGGGGGGAAGGGCTAGAACCTCTGTCTAATTTTTACTGCTGTCTCTGGGGAGCTTTACCCTCTCCTAGTTCAGGTGGCCATTGTGTGCAGGACAGGAAGTGATAGGAAACACAATGGTATGCCGTCTTTTAGCCCAGGTGGCCATTTTCTGCAGGGTGGGAAATAAAAAATTGTATGCCCTCTTTTAGTCCATGTGGCCACTGTCTGCAGGACAGGAAGTGATGGGAAACCCAACGGCATGCCCTCTTTTAGTCCAGGTGGCCACTGTCTGCAGGACAGGAAGTGATGGGACATACAAAATGTTGTGGTTGTCCCTGGAATAGGATGTAAGGGACAGCCCTCTAATGGGGTCACCTGTTCATGTTGCCTAAGAGGATTTCTGTTCATCCTTGAGCAATCTCTTCTCACTTCCTGTTGTGTTTCCAGGACATTGAAGTTTTAAAGTGGAAGTTTCACACTTTTTCTCGGTCACTTCCTCCCTCTTCTTGCACAATCGCAAGTAATGTTTCCTTTTTTTCTGTCAGTTTAGTAAACCTTTACTTTATTCCACTTCTTTCTCACCGGACGAGAGGTGACGTTTCCTCAGCCGGCTGTAGCCTCCTGAGACATCCACGTCTCTCATCCCAGAAGGCTGCTAGTGCAGCAAATGCCAAAATCCCAATAGATTTCATGCATAGCATTGCACAGTGGTGCATCACCGGGGGCTGGGGGGTGGCAAAGTCAGAAAGCAACGCCCGGCTCCTCATGATTCTGGATCCAAAGTGGTGACAAGACAGATAGGAAGCACAGGTGTAACTTTGGCCGTGAGGAAGAAAGTCACTTTTTTATTTTATTTATTTTTTCAAATAAAACATATAAAACTTTATTGTGGCTAATTTAGATTTTTGACATTTTGGTGGAAGGTCCTCCTTTTAGACCCCGTTCACATTGAGCGATTATCGCGCGGTAATTCCCGCGCGATATCGCGCTCCAATGCAATCCAATGGGGCAAAGGGTCCTGCTGTCGCGGGTCGTGTGTCGCTACAGCAGGACCCTTTTTGGAGCGGATTTAGCCGCGATTCAAGCTTGCTCAATGCAAGCTTGAACGCGACATCGCGCGGCAAATCTCGCGATGTCGCGCAATATGCAAATCGCGCGATATGCATATCGCGCAGTGGGAACGGGTTGCCTTTTTCTTACTTTAGCCAAAATAAATACAAATAAAGTTTGGCTATTCATACTTTCATATGTGTTCTTTGACAAACAATATGTCCTTGTCCTTTTTAAGAGGCCCCAGCAAGCTCTGTAATTCCTCTTTCAGTATTGAATAAGCGACTAATCCCATTGTATATCTCCTCTTCCTCCCCCCAGTATGACGAGGTCCAGCAGACCCTGCAGGAATCCGGACATCAGAAGTTACTGGAAGAGATCACCGAACAGAAAGTAAGAAAAAGAGGAAGTTGTCAGTTCCATGTAATGTCTCCTGTTACTGCATGGGCTCGTGAGAGACGAGGGCTGACATATACCATGCCTGTGCAGCTGCACAGGGGCCCTCTGGCACTTAGGGGCTCTATTATGCTAGGTGCGGGTCAGAGGGGTGCATGGACCCCTTGAAATGTCATGGAAAAGTCTTTATATTTAGAAGTCAATCGATGCACCATGAATAAGTGTTCTTCCTTTAATACGTGTTTGTCTTTGCGAGGTTCTGAACGTTGATGCAAGATAGGAAAGCTTCGTCCCCCTGTTCATACAGTTTAGCATTAGCGTTACAGTACATGTGTCCAGGAACTGAGGAACCCCTCTCTGATGTTTACAGTTATCTTGGGCTCCATTAGAGAGCTTTCCCCTCACTTCCTGTCTTGCTGACAATGTTTTTCTGGACAGGAAGTAAGGGGGACTTCTTAATAGCAACACAGCCAGAAATCGCCACATCGGAGCTGCTGTATATA